AAAAAAAAAAAAAAAAGAAAAAAGCAAAAATAAAAGATTTTGAGAGCTTTATTTTTAATTGTGGACATGGAAGTTGTTAAAGAGCAGCAAAGCAAAAGGAAAAGAAAGAGGAAGAAATGGAGGAAATGAGAGTGAGGGTGATAATGGTAATAGTGGCAATGGCTTGGGCAACACTTGCAATGGGAGAGAAGCTTCATAAGGTGGGCAATTCTAAAGGATGGAACCCTAATCTCAATTATACCCTTTGGTCCTCCTCTCACCGTTTCTATCTCGGTGATTGGCTTTGTAAGTTTCTTTATCTCTTTCGTATTTTTTCCTTCTTTCTTATTTTGAAAATCGGGTCGAGTCGAGTCGAGTCGAATCCGGCAAATTTGTGAGCTTTTTCGAACAGTTTCAATTAGTTTTGGTTCTTCAGCTTCGTACTGCCAATTTAGCCCTAAATTTTTCATATTTATAATAATTTAAGGGTCGTGATTCTTGTATATCATTATTTTTTTCATGAATATCCAATGTTTTTTTCTTTTATTTTTTTTAATTTTAAGAAAATATTGATATTATTCACAAATAAAAAAAAATATATAGCCCGAAATTAAAGATTAAAAATGGATGAATTTATTTTTTTAAATTATTATTATTATTAGGAAGTGAATTTAGGAAATAAAGTTTTGTTAGTGACCAATGATGCTAAATTAAAAAATATATATTTTGTTTTTTTCTTTTTATAAATATTTTTGAGTTTGATTAATTTGGTAGAAAAGTATTAAGTGAAATTTAAAAAATTTAAGATATTTTTTAAATATTTTAAAGTTTTAAGGGTGTTTTTTAAAATTTGTAGGACGAAATAATTAATTGTTAAAATCGTATATTAATATTTTGTTTGAAAAGATTTCGTGTTCGACAAGCGATACTACAACGTGTTGGAAGTGAACAAAACGAGCTACGAGAGTTGCAACGAGAAGGAGTTCATAAAGAACATTACAAGAGGTGGACGAGACGTGTTTCAGCTGACGGAGCTGCGGCCCTATTTCTTCATTGCCGGCGGCGGCTACTGCTTTCAAGGAATGAAACTTGCTGTCTTAGTGTGCCCGACGGCCGTAGCCCCGGCTGCTCCGCCGTCTGCCACTCCCATAAGTGGCGCGTCTTTGTCAAACCCCACCTGTTGGATTATGAATGCCCTTATGCTTTTTGTTGCTCTTTTCTTAGTGATTAAGATTGAGTGAATGAAGGAAGAGAGATTTATTTCGGTGTGTTTGAGATATTCTCGAAGTAGTTCGGGATGTAATTTGATCTACTTTGATGGTCATATCAAATTACTCGAGTGGAACTTGTAATAGAAATTATGCGACATATACTCTTGTTCTTGAGTAAGTCGACTAGCTAAACTTTGATTGTCGTTGACACATATGCTCATTCAAGTTAGGATATAAACCTCGTAGATTGTCATGTCTCGTTCACTTTGGATGAGCACAGGGGCTCGTCCTGTTCTTTATATATATGAATATTAAATAGTACCCGTAAGGACCGTACAACATACTATCTCATTTTTTATTTATTTTTTTTCACTTTTTATTTTGTTTATTTATTATTATTATTATTTTTTTCTTAACTTGATCATGTTGGGTTGGAAGGAAGAAATTTTTTTGGACCAATTCAAAAGTTCACAAACAAACATAAATCAATCCATAATTATTCAACCAAACCTAAGAATTCATCGTGACAGAACCATAAATATGCTCTATAATTTGAGATGGGTTGGTCTGGGTTGTCGGGTTGAATGAACACCCTTAATGCCAGAACTATTAGTAGTGAGCTTGAATTGTTACAAATGATATAGATTCAACACTAGGCGGTGTGCCAAATCTATTAGCAATGAGCTTAAGTTGTTACAAATATTATAGAGTTGACACTAAAGTAGATGATGGTTGATAGAGTAATTTTTTTTATTGTAATTTCCCGTATGAGTATTTGGGCCAACATGAAATTTGTGGTTGTAGTAAAACACCAATTCTCCTCTTGGGACTTAATTTGATTTTTATAGATTTCTCGAGATATTTTCTTACAAAGTTTTGTTATTGCATCTATAACAGCTTCGGGTTTAGGTGGACAACCCGACAAATATACATCGACAGGAATTAACTTATCGGGAATCGGTATTGAACATCCTTTCGGTTTATACATGCTCCCATTAGGGGTGTACATGGTCCGGGTTAGGTTGGGTTGATGGATTTTTTTTACCCAACCCAAAAGTTCGGGTTGGTCGGACTGGTAGCCTAACCCAACCCGAAACTTTTCATAACCCAACCCTTTATTTTCGGGTTGGGTTCAAGTTGGGTCTAGGTTGGGTTGTCAATTCTTTTTTAAATTTTATTTATCCACAATTTATAATTATTCACGTACCATCTTAGATAAAATATACTAAAAGTTCACAAACAAACCCAAATCAATGTATAATTATTAAAAAAACATGTTAAAAAATAATAATAATATATATATATATATATATAAACCCTAAACTCTAAGCATTTGTTTCCAAATAAGTTGAGTGCATGTATAAATAACAAAATAATAAAAAGAAACATGAATTTAGCTGTCCTCAAACTCTCATATTAGTATCTTTGACTTAAACCCATTAATACATGAGATTCTTAATATATTTTATATATTTTTATTTAGTTCGGGTCAATTCAAAGGTTTTATCTATGAACCTGAAACCGAACTGTTAAGGATAGTTGACCGTTCATTATAAGGCAAATATCTAGATATTTGCCTTACATTACGGGTTACCATATTTGCCCTTTTATTAAAGGCAAATATATTGCATTCATTTATTATTCTTTCCTTTTATTACTATTTCCATATTATTTGTAATTTACCATATTTCTGTACCTTGTAAATGATTATAAATAAGAGAACTCTCACCCCCATTTAGGCGTGGGGGATTCAGCAAACATTCACATGGTATCAGAGCCCTTTCGGTTTAACAACCCTGATTCTTTTTTTTTTCTCTATGACTTCCGAATCTTCTTATCATCTTCTTCCTTTCAATACTCTAATCCATATGATCACCATCAAACTTTCTTCCTCCAATTATCTTTTTTGGAAAAGCCAACTTCTCCCTCTCCTTGAGAGTCAAGGCATGTTGGGCTATGTCGATGGAACTATGGTTCCACCACCTCGTTTTGAACCAGAAACCTCTTCAACACTCAACCCCAAATATTTGACATGGAGAGCAGCCGATCAACGAATTCTCTGTCTCCTGCTCTCCTCTCTCACTGAGGAAGCCATGGCTGTTGTCGTTGGTCTGTCTACTGCACGTGATGTTTGGCTTGCGTTGGAAACTACGTTCAGCCATCAGTCGAAAGCTCGTGAACTGAGACTCAAGGATGACTTACAGTTGATGAAACGTGGCACCAAACCTGTTGCTGAGTATGCCCGTGCCTTCAAAAAAATTTGTGACCAACTTCATGCCATTGGCAGGTCGAGGACATTGATAAAGTGCACTGGTTCCTTCGTGGACTCGGCACCGAATTTTCAGCCTTTTCTACTGCTCAGATGACTCTCACCTCTATCCCCTGTTTTGCAGATTTAGTCTCTAAAGCTGAAAGTTTTAAGTTGTTCCAGCGCTCCCTTGAGTCCTCTAACTCCACTCCTACAGCATTCACAGTCACTAATCGTGGTCGCACCCATGGAAGTTACCCTGCTTCCTTTACCAACCAGCGAGGTCGTTCTTATTCTCACAAAAACAACTCTTCTAATCGAGGACGAACCCACTCAAGTCAAGGTCGTCGACCACCTCACTGCCAAATATGCCGCAAAGAGGGCCATTATGCTGACCGCTGCAACCAACGGTATGTTCGACCTGATTCTTCTCATGCTCACTTTGCTGAAGCCTTTAACACATCATGTTCTATTGCTGGACCCGATGCTGCTGATTGGTTTCTGGACACTGGAGCTTTGGCCCATATGGCTGCCGACCCATCTATTCTGGATCAGTCTAAAAATTACACGGGTAAGGACTCTGTGATTGTAGGAAACGGTGCATCCCTACCCATTACCCACACCGGTACTCTTTCTCCTGTTCCAAATATTCACTTGTTAGATGTCTTGGTTGTCCCTCACCTCACTAAAAATCTTCTTTCCATAAGTAAATTAACGTCTGTTTTTCCTCTCCCCGTTACATTTACTAATAATCTTATTACTATCCAGAATCGTCAAACAGGAAGGGTGGTGGCAACCGGTAAAAGAGATGGAGGGCTATATGTGCTGGAGCGCGGCAACTCTACTTTTATTTCAGCCCTTAGAAACAAATCTTTACATGCTTCATATGATTTATGGCATGCTCGTCTAGGTCATGTGAATCATTCTGTTATTTCTTTTTTAAATAGAAAAGGTCATCTTTCTCTTACGTCTTTATTGCCTTCTCCATCATTATGTAACACTTGTCAGCTTGCGAAAAGTCATCGATTGCCTTATTCCCGCAATGAACGTAGGTCGTCTCATGTGTTAGATCTTATTCATTGTGATCTTTGGGGTCCTTCTCCCGTCAAATCAAATTCGGGTTTTCTTTATTATGTTATTTTTATTGATGATTATTCTCGATTCACTTGGTTTTACCCTTTAAAATTTAAATCTGATTTTTTTGATATTTTTCTTCAATTTCAAAAATTTGTGGAAAATCAATATTCTTCTCGTATCAAGGTATTTCAAAGCGATGGTGGTACCGAATTTACTAGTACTTGTTTTAAAACTCATTTACGTAATTCTGGCATCCACCATCAACTCTCTTGTCCATATACACCTGCTCAAAATGGTTGTGCTGAGAGAAAACATCGTCACGTGACTGAGATTGGCTTGGCCCTTCTCTTTCACTCTCGTCTTTCTCCTCGTTTTTGGGTTGACGCCTTCAGCACTACAGCTTATATTATCAACCGGTTGCCTACTCCACTTCTTGGAGGTAAGTCACCCTTTGAACTCCTTTATGGCTACACTCCACATTATGACAATTTTCATCCCTTTGGTTGTCGTGTTTATCCTTATTTGCGTGATTATATGCCTAACAAGCTTTCTCCCCGCAGCATTCCTTGTATTTTTTTGGGTTATAGTCCTGCCCATAAAGGGTTCCGCTGTCTTGATCCCGCCACCACTAAGCTATATATCACCTGTCATACTCAATTTGATGAAACTCACTTTCCTGCTATCCCTAGCTCCCAGACCCAACCTCTTTCCTCTATTCCTATTTCAAATTTCTTAGAACCACATCTTCATCATATTGATTCATCCCCCTACCACTTCATCTATATCCTGTAAATGATTATAAATAAGAGAACTCTCACCCCCGTTTAGGCGTGGTGGATTCAGCAAACATTCACACGAACTTTCGAATTCAGAAAAAATGAACTCAACCTTGCCCGAAATGCTAATCCAACTCAACAGAACCCTTATAGTTTCAATTGGGTTAGTCGGAACAACTCAACCCAACCCTTATGGTTCCAATTGTGTTAGTCCAAATTATCAAATTGTAGGGTTGAACGTACACCCTAACTCTCAGAATATAACCACATTTTTAGTAATAAAAGTACCAAAAATAGCATTAAATGTTTAACAATGCTCCATCTCTAACAAATCTCCCAAAATCTCTCCCATCCAATGCTCCATCTCCTTCTTAATCCCCATTCATCCCTCCATTTTCCACACACCGCAATTGCTTCCTTCTTCCTCCTCACAATACAACACATCCAGAGGAAGCAGGTTTTCCCCCACCTCCTTCCTCTACCCCGCCATGGCCGTCTTTCACCCTACCGCTCTTCTTCTTCTTCTACTTTTCCTATCTCTTCCATTCTCCCTTCACTCTCACCTTTCTCTCGATTATTACCACAAAACTTGCCCCGACTTCGCACAAATCGTTCACGACACTGTCGCTCGCAAGCACGCTACTAGCCCCGTCACCGCCGCTGCATCTATGCGCCTCTTCTTCAGCGACTGTTTGGTTGGAGGCTGCGATGCCTCTGTTCTTATTTCATCCAATGTCTTCAACCACGCCGAGCGCGATGCTGAAATCAACCAGGCTCTTCCTGGTGACGCCTTCGACGTTGTCACTCGTGCGAAGATCACCTTAGAGCTCTCTTGCCCTGGCATCGTCTCTTGCTCTGATGTGTTAGCGCAGGCGACTAGAGATCTCATCGCGGCCTCAGGTGGACCGTCGTACAAAGTTGAATTAGGGCGAAAAGATAGCCTCGTCTCGAAGATTTCAGATGTGGAAGGTAACATTCCGAAACCGAATCAATCAATTGACGAATTGATTAAGCTATTCGAAGCGAAAGGATTCACGATTCAAGAAATGGTAGCGCTATACGGCGGACGCACAATCGGATTCTCGAATTGCAGGGAATTCAGCGATCGGCTGTTCAATTTCAGCAAAAACACGCCAACAGATCCTGAGATTAATTCGAAATATGCAGAGGCGTTGAAGAAGTCCTGCGCCGACTACGAGAAGAATCCAGCAAGTTCAGCGTACAGCGACCCCGTAACGCCAGGGAAGTTCGATAACGTATACTACCAGAATCTGCTGAGAGGAATGGGACTGTCGGCGGCGGATCACGCGCTGGTGAAGGATCCAAGGACGAGGAAATTCGTGGAGATGTATGCAGGGAACCAGGCATTATTCTTCAAGGATTTTGGAGAGGCGATGGAGAAGATGAGCGTTCGCGAGGTGAAAACTGGCGAGAAGGGAGATGTGAGGAGAAGGTGCGATGCATTCAATACAATCAACCATTAGGCCATTTTTTGTATTTTTTTTTTGTATTTTTTTTTTCTTTTGCCCTATTTTTTTTTTTTTTTGTGAGATTGATTTGGAGAAAGTTTATTGATGGAAGAGAGAGTGAGAGGAAGAGGAAGAGGAAGAATCCTTTTTGTAATTGTGGTTATTGCATATTTTAATGAATTGAATTCTCTTATTTTCTTTTCATTTATTCTTTTTTACAATTTTTTATATCAATTTTTTTTTTTTTTTTTTTTTTAGGATCAAAATTGTTGTCTCTCCTTGCTAGCTACTCTGTTGGCCGAGTTTGAGGTTAGCGGTAGGCTCAAATGCTATAGAGTCGACACTAAGCAGTGTGCCAAAGCTAGGGATTATCCCTGACCAACCCAAATTATAGTTAGGGGTTGGATTAGGTTAATTTTTATGAACTTGATTGGCTCAGTGGATTGTCCCCGACCAACCCAACCTGTGTTAGTGTATTTATGTTTTAATTTTAAGATTATTTTAATTTAAAAAATATACGATAGATTTATTAAATATAATTTATACCTACGTTATTATTTTGAAAAAAAAAAGTATTCAATGTTAATAGACTATACCTATGGTAATTTTAAAACATATTATTTTCATCTAATTTTAAATGAATTTTTTATTCTCTCTGACAATAGTTATATGAGCTCTCTTGCATATATAACATTCTTTCAAAATCTCTCGAAAATCTATCCCTCCTTTTCTAAAACTTAAAACCTTCTCTTAAATCGAGGCTAGATGCTCGAGCATATGTCGTTTGGCCGTAGGAAGAACGAATTGGATAAGCTCACTTGTTGCTGGAAAATGAGTGTGCTAGAAAGTATAAATGAATTTAAATACGGAAATTTATCAAAAGTGCCCAAAATATTTTGACCAAACAATTTAAGAAAGTAGTGTTATAAGCTATTAAGCAATAAGCAACAATTACATTGATAACGGATAATTCAGATAAGAAGAGTTGATAAGTAGTTGATAAGTAGTTGCATGTGCATGTTTTTGTAGTACGTGTTGAGGTAAGTTCACAAACAAATACAAATCAATTTATAATCATTCAAACAAATAAAATTTTCATCAAAGATGTAATTGTAACATCAACAACTAAATACCAATACTCCCTGACTAATGCATATTGATCATTAAGAGACTAATAAACATATGTGAATGTTATAATTTAAAATATACCAAACGTGAATGCATGCATATAAGATGTGAGCGTGTTATGAGTTCATGATCAGTATGTATGGTGTAGGACTCTAGTTTATGCTTATGAGCTGGTTATGATATGATGTGTATGAGTATCTTTAATCTACTAATTCCCGCGAAACCTCTGATCGATGCACTGTGTGCTAAGTTAGGACAATGAGGATTCTTGATCGTAGAACTGTGTGTTACTTGTCACAATCGCACTTTTGATGGCAGCGAACTTGCGATTGTGTGGCACTCACTTCCCAGCAAGAAGTGAGTTAAGCCAATTCATTCTTACGTCGCCTACGGCCAAATGACGTATGTTCAAGCCTCTGGCCTCGGTTCAAGAAGAAAGTTTTAGAAAACGGGGGCAGAGAGATTTCGGAAGAGAGTTTTGAAAGCAAGACTTGAGAGATTGAAATTGGTGTTATATGTGATGCAAGCAAAAAAGCAACAACAACGGTTTACATCTTATAACTATCGGGTAGGGAGGCTACTAGAGAATTTAGTAGACGGGTTGTATTTGACCGAAGCGAGTCATACATACATATCTAAAATTTGTAGTAAGTCATACATACTATCTGAAATATGTAGTAAGTATAAGGTTAGCTAAAGCACCTTAGTATCAATAGAGAGACCCTAGTAGACGAGACTAGGAGCCAAGACAAAGGTTGGACAGAGGATCCAATCTAGACGATGACGACGACGACGACGACAAAAAAAAGAAAAAAGAAAAAAAAAGGACTTATGTGCATAGAACTTTAGAGTGGAAAAATAATTAATATACGTTGTTGATAGCAAATTGGCTACTCACGAGTAAATTATTTTACTCATTGAAATTATTTATATTTTTCTTTTTAGATGGACGAGTCGTAGTGTGATTGAGACGACGGTGTAGCTTAGCTAGAGACTTCGGGATCCTATCTAGATCCATGTCCATTTTTTGTTGGATTGACTTTTGTCCGTTTAGAACTCACGAAGGACGTTTATATTTATTAGTCGTTCTTAACTATTTGCAATTTTACGTAAATTACGTTTTTGCTCATATATTAAATATAATGTTTTTATAAAATACTCTACATTAATAGCAACAACCATAAATCGGACGTCTTGGTAAGCGAGAGTTACCTGGAGGGACCTATCCTTTTATTAAAAAAAAAACATTATGGTATGGCCTTAGGTTGCTTTCTAGTCTGGGTCGAGTTAGATGTGTAGTACTTCACTACACACGGTCCAAGTATATGCACATGGACTCATCAGGCAGACTCGTATATGTATCCTTAGGCCTAGCTCGTCGGGCTAGCGCATGCTCACGCTATTGGACATCACGAAGGAAAAGGACCCGCATAACATCATGACAAACATAAATATCGTAAGGTACGTATTCATACTAATCATAGCGAGGAAGTATCTCGGTGCATATGACATACAAAAATGCATAAGATTCTCATAGCTTAAAATCATGACATAAGTTATAATTCAAATCAAATCTTCATTCATTAAATCGTGTCAAATTTTTCGTATCAACATAGTTTAAATGACTTAGTGTATGAAGGTTTATGCATTAGAGATTATTAAAATCATCAAATTATAACATAGCTTATAAACTTGGAATGGCACAACATAGTTTAACATAACATAACATGGCATAACATAGTATCGCATCACATAACATAGCATAACAATCATAATTATGACGCGTGTAGAGGCCTTGAGCATACGTCATCATACATCATACAATTCATCCAACCAAGAAAATAGTATAACAACTTACTATGTAACGACCCTAAATTTTCACATATCTAGAGTCGCCACTAACGTCTCATGCTCATCTATAAAGTGAAAATATAACTCTTACATGAACATCATTTTTAACGTAAACTTCAAAAACGTTTAAAACAACTCCTTCTCTGGAAAACACAGTCATGGTCTTACGTGTTTAAATACAAAATACTAAAATTTAGAGAAAATAAAAACAAATACAAAATAATTTAAAACAATGGAATGCAAAACAACCTATTCTAACTTAAAACTAAGAATTTAAATATGAGTCTACCCTATGCACGTGCCACAGTCTCTACTCGCGATGCCGCCGTCCTCCGTACAAGTGCGCCTTGCCCTTTACCTGAAAAAAAAAAATGTGGCACACGGCCTGAGTATTTCAAAGAATACTCAGTAAATGACCTCACTATAGGGGCCATGCAAATGGAAACACATGCAATCATGATTTAGGGACCTATCTCTAACCATCTTAGGGGTGGCCTCTAGTCTCGGACAAATTGGATGTGTAGTACTTCCCTACACACGACTCACACGTGCGAGTGTGAATCCCCAGGGCGCTCGCACACCCCCTGGACCCTCTGGTCAAGCTAATCTGTAGCAACGTCCGGAGGTCAGCGGAACCCCATAGTGTCATGCACTTTATGAACACCCTCATCTGTGTGCTTTTGCACCTGTGCGCATACGCGCTCATCATACGGTGCGCGTCCGCACTCATCATCTCTAGGGGAAGTAGCCCTATGCTTATGAACATACAATATGCATGAGATCCCTCTAAATCCATCCTAATGTCTCTTCTGACACAACCCTCTAGTCTCATCTCTTTGTTACTCTAGGTAACACATACTCGTGGATATTTATATTAATATCATTTTCACGCTCTTAGGGTTGTGTCCTATGTCGATCTAACGACATGATGCAATATGGCACTCATCATCATATAGCATGCTCAATATGAAAAACATCATCATATTAAGGTAAACGTCACGCAATCATCATACTCATCATATTGCCACAAAGTGCATCAAACATATCAAGTACGACATTCATCAAAATATATATATACTAAGCACATCATCAAGTATCATAACCCACACATCATCATAAGTCATACATCATCATAACTCATATACCGCATCGTACGACATAGTTCATACAACATCGTAACTCATACAAGTTTTAGCCTATCCTATAGTAAGGCCACTTACCTGGTTGGCCTTAGCCGAAGATTCCCTAATTTAATTAACGTAAGCTCCCGTTCCTCGAGAGCTGCTCCAAAGGTTACTAGAGTTCGCTTCATATCGAACCGCTCGTCACCTTTCATTAGTATTTCACATTTTAATTAATAATCCAACTAACAATGTGAAATACAACTCTAAACCGGTCTCAGTAAAAATTAAATTCCACGTTTTCATTCTTTCTAAATTTTGGTTGGGTAGTAAAACTTAAATTGAAAATATGTCAATATTATTTCATGTTGCTTCAATCATTCAATCCAACTATGGTTTGTTATAATATTATATTAATAATTTCTCACCTCTTCCCTCTTTTTCTTTCATATAAATTACTATGTAATTATAAAACAATAGTTTTCTCCTCCTACACAGTATGACTGTCAATTAACAAAAGCCATTTCAATTTTATTTATTTTTTTTTTTCTTCCTCTCTTTCCTAAAAATTATTATTATTAAAGAAGACATTTTGAATCTATTCTATTTTCTTCTCTTTCCTTTTTCAATTAATTATGTTTTCTCTTCTTTCCTAAAACCACTATCATTAACCATTTTTAATCTAGTCTATTTTCTTCTCTTTCCTAATTGATGATTATATTTAGATGAAATTGACAAAGCCATTTTCAATCAATTTTGATTTTCTATTTTGATTTAAATTTAAATAATTGAAAAAGATATCGAAGATAACTTTTCAATTTTGATTTAAATTTAAATAATTGAAAAATAGATCTAAGATAACTTTTCTATATCTGTCAAGAGATAGAAGAGAAAAGATCTAACTTACCGATAATCTCTTTCCATTCCTATTAAATCTGTTGAAGCAAAGGCAGTCTCCAATTCTTCTCTCCCAAAATCTGTGATATTTTCTTTGTTTTTTTCTTCAATTTTTCTCTTCCCAAAATCTGTCATTTTTTTTTTTTTCTGTTTAGTTCTTTTTTTCTTTTTCTCTTTTTTTCGTAGGTAGGCCTAGGCGGGCCTTTA